ATGCATATTAATATATGCAGGATGATGGTTGTACTGGCTGTAGGCAAACGTTGATGAAATGAACAACATATGATACTCGATATCGAGTACATGCATGCAGTCAGTTGGTCGCAACAACCACTGCCCTTTACATAGGTCTTTTGCAGAAAATTTATGGCATTGTTGTCCATGAGTTCACAGAAAACATTAAAATTCATATTTTCTCCCAATCTCAGACAGTGACCGACCTTTGTTATTCTAACTTGCTACAAGCATAAATTTCGTTACCAATCTGTCAATATTAGGTAGGTATTTTTGGAATCTGTCAATGTCAATAACTTTGAAGGGAGATCAAACAAAGTTGTAATCGTTTATGTGTTTTAATTTGTTATTAAAATGCAGGAAACTAGAAAGACTCAATATGAAGAATTTACCACAAGTCGACAGTCCAGAGCTGATTTCTGTTATGCTGGAAGATGTGCTGCCGAACTTAAAACTTCAAGTTGTCTCACAACATGTGGCAAGGCATCATGATATGATGGATGCAGCTGCGTCTTGGCGAAAAAGGACTGAGGATTCTTTGAAACAGAACACTTCCAGAGATGAGAAAAATGCAAAGAACTGAGAATGATGGGTAGTGAGTTGAAACTGTACGACTGGAGTGCTGTCGACCAATTAGCATGCATGCTCTATTTTAGATCAATTCAGTCTTCAAATTTGTTCATACTTAATACAGCTAATAAGTGTACACTCAACACTTGGACTTCTAGATTACAGTTCAAATTTATTAAGACCCTCAAAAACTTATGATACTTCTTAGATTGAGTACTGTCCAGTCAGTACCAGTGACTCTTTTGAACCAAGTGGAAGCAGAGGTTGTGACATTGCTCTGATGTTGCCATTATCATGTTCGCTTTCCCAGTCAGCCTGGTATTTGCACCCTGACTCCCACATACATACATATTTGTATTGATAATGTGATCATTGATTGTCAAAATTTATTGATAAAAATTCGAAATATTCAACAACTGAGGCAAGATCAAACTTGCTTATTACTCTAGCTTTACAATGGAGTTTGTAGACACCTGACTCACCATTGCCTACTTGCAGAATTCAAGTCAGGCAGCTCTACTACATATTCAAGTAGAAGTCCACCAAACTTATTGAATACTTTATCATTGAACAGTGATTGGGAATGCGTTGATTGAGAAAAATACTGTATTCTCTGTAATGATGTATTTATACTGCTTTACCCGGTACTCTACTTTCCTCATGTCCATTAGTGCTGTAGCTTGGCATCCTATCAACATCTGTATATTAAGCTGTGATGATACGGCACCTCATCTACATGCAATGTGATTACTGATATGACGAGCTTATGCAACTCCATTAACGGTAAATCACGCTGATCTCACTGAGCTGAGAGATATTGTATATTTATTAAATGTAATATTTGATATGACATCCTTCTTTATTCAATCAACAGTTGATATTTCTGAGAGAAGATAGTAAGATTTTACGTAAATTTACGTAATTCTCAGGAGCACAAACGTCTAGGCATCACCTGGCAATCACAAATCTATCAAAAAATTGTACTTTGGTCTAGTTTTTGAGACTCTTCTGAACATGACTACTCAACATATTTAAATATATGCAACATGTATAAATTTGGTTGCTCAGGATTGTCTCATAGTTGAGTTTGTGCTGTTTTTTTCACCGGCTCTTTGACCGGTGTTCAACAGCAACTTAAGCAGATTCCAAAGAAATACATGGTACAGTGGTGTGCGACTTAGCAACGTAGAACGTTCTGTGACGTAGCTCCGCCCCCGGGAATACTGTAAAACATGTTGAAAAAGCGACATACTATTTTAGCGAATTGTGGTAAAATGACATAATGGCGAAATGTTGGTTTAGTGAATCCCTCTTGTCTTTATGGATTTCCTGTTTTCACAATACTTGAACTTGTCTGTTGCCTGCCAAAACAAATGCACAGTTATCACTTCCATAAAAACAAAGAAAAACTGTCAAGTGTAATATGGAAGCACTCCAGATTATTACGTTTTCTGTGTTGTTTACAAAGTGTGTGTGTGGAGAAATAGACGTGGTTTGGCCGCCATTTTCAATATATAATGAATTCATTAGCGACATCTTAAATTAGCAAATTAGTTCTTTCGCTAAAAAGACATGCTCGCGAAAAAGACATGTTTTACAGTAGTCTTGACAGTTGTCTTGACAGTTTCAGTGTTGTGATGATTGAAATTTACAAATTGAGAAAAAAACAAAAGCAATACATAAGTAAATTTTTATTGTTATCTCAAGAAAATGATTATCAAAATTCTGTTCAAAAACTATTCCACCTTCAATCCTCGCCACATTTTACTTTGTTATATCAAGTTTATATGTTGCTATGAATGAGACAGAATTCTATCATTACAATTAATACGATTTTAACAAACTGAACTGTTGAATAATAAATATTAAAATATAATTCTCTGGATTTGTGGTTTGCAATTGTTGTCATGATGATGGCATCTAGATTCCTGCAACCTTCCTTGTGGAACTCCATTTGTTTGCTGTTGATATAGCCCGGATGTTGCCAAACTCAACTTTTGTCATTATTTGTCCATTCAGTCAGAAAGGAACAAAAAATGTTGTACTAACACTTTGGCAGGAAAAATTGCATTGGTAAAAAACACCCACTTGATTTGTTATAATTGGGTGAAGGTCAAAGTTGTTTATCTTCTATCAAATAGAATATCTGAGAAATATTTCAAGCCCCCTCCAAACATCGTAAGTCTTCTGTATATTCTGTATATACCCACCCCACATTGCAAGGGTTTTTCATGTAAAATGAAATGGCGGTGGTGATGCTTGGATTAATTCGACGTGTGTGCAGGTGGTACGAGTTATTTATAGCTCACCTCCACATTCATGAAGAGAAGGGCGAACAGGTACGGAACTGCATGAGGGGACAATTCCAACTCCCAGCGCTCCTAGCGACAAAGTACTTTGTTAACAGCGTCGTCCGTCGATAGCAAAAAAGGTTTTGATAAATTTGGATATTCTAAATGACGAAGGACTACATCACCATGTGCAGTCGTGTTTTTTTTTGACGACGCTGCTTTCATAGCTCAGTTATATTACGTCACTGAATCAATTCGTCATTGCACGGCAATAAACCCATACAACAAACGTGACTGCACAAATCAGCTGAATAGAGACGATCCACATTCAGTTCTCAGTTTATGCATAGACCTTAGTTTTCTAAGGTCTATGGTTTATGTCGATATTATATCCGACTTTATGGTTCTTTTCGATATTATGTTTATTTCTAGTCATCCAATTTGTAAAATTTGATTCATTTTGTGCAGTTGTCTGTATCAATATCGTTTAGGCCTCGAATGATTTTAAAATAATAACGATATCACATGTAACGAGTCGTTAACAGTAAATTTGCCAATTTCATAACAAATTTCTTCGTGCTTTGAAATGCGAAAAGGTAGTTTAGTTGTGTATTATCAAAGACTATCTTCTCTATAGTCCTTGGTATTATAAACGAGTATTTGTATGAGCGCATTTTTTATGGAAATATTCCTAAAGAATTATACAAATTTATTATTTTTCCTAGTACAGAAAATTAATTCATTGTCAGATGTCAATAATTTCAGGAAATTTTCTGCTTATTTTTAAGGTTTGCATTGCAAAGTTTTAGTGTGTGCTATATATTCACATCCTGAATCTTTTACTAGTACTTTATGTCGTTTTAACAGAGTAGTGTCGACACTGGACAAGGATGTATGCTCAGTCTTGAACTAATAGTGTACTTGTAAAAGTGAGAAAGGTGATATTTTTGACATTTTTGATATTTTTTCTTCACAACGCAAGATCAATCAAACTGAACTTGAGCTGTTTTGCTGGCAATTGTGCATTAGACAAAACAATGATTCAATTTATTTAGTTTTTTTTTCTGGTTTTGAAATTATCTTGTGTCAATGTTGGGTATTGGCTCCTGTGAAAACAATGAAGCAATTTTAGGAGAATGTGGAGGACGTCGAATACAGATGTGACAAAATTTGTTTAATGTGGGCCACGAATTGTGCATATGAGCTACTCACTGTACCCTGAAATATGTTACAATTCGATAAGGAGACTACACAAGCAGATAGAAGAACCTGCAGTGGACCACACAAATCGAAGATATGTTATTGAAGTACAGTTTCAGCCATACATGAACAAGAAATAGTAAACTGTTCACGCTTTTTCATTGAAAGATTGTTCCCACCAAAAATGACATGAGTCCACCAATTCTTAAAAATTGAGTTTTTACTCAACATTCAAGTCCCTGTAAAGAGTCAAAAAAAGTTTCTTTATTCATTTGTAAGCAAAAAGTGGCATTAGCGATATTTCGCAACCTGAACCATTTATGTAACTAACAAAGTTTGGCGTATAAAACGTTTAGGCATTAATAGAAAAATATGTAGAAATTTAGTATTAGAGGATGAATTCCATTTCGTAGTGCGATGTCCAACATATCACAAATGCCAATAAGACGTGAATTCCTAAAAATAATAACAAAATAGCGCGTTCCGAAGTCTAATTTAAATATATTAGTTAATCTATCTGCATCAGATTTCTTCTTTCTGGAAGGGCCCTTACTTATGACTAAACAACTCATAAATTATGCGTATTTGTGGTAAAAACTTGCACGATGGAAAACTGACAGCCATTTGTATTGGTAATCAGTAGAGACACGTGATACAGTACATCGAATAGAAGAAGAAATATTTTTATTTGGTAATAAAAAGTATTTTATTGCGATTGCTTCAGAACAAATAAAAACTGAAGTATTTCTAAGCGAATTGTAGACAACGTCCAGCGTTTGTTTAATCATGGCGTGTTATCATTCGGACACAAACTTGAATAGTGTTTGTTGTTACTCCAGAAGGACCAGTCGAGAGTTCTTACATTCCAATACTCGATATATATGGACTGCGGGGATATCCTTCCATTTTTCTGCTCTGACCGTTTCCATGAATACTGATGATCGCGAGATGTGTCGAAAAGGCACTTTTTTCATTGTTCAAACTGTCATGATGTACAATCCAATACCGAGGTATTTCTCGTCGCATTCGTTTTTTCAAGGCTGGAGTTCTCGTTTGATTTCAGAAAAGTGTTTGTTCCCATACACTAAATCTATTCGTTATCTTAGAAGTAGGAGATGTACCACGACTGTATAACGTTGAGATGTTTAGATGGCACCAACCACCATACACTGTGTGTACAGGGATATCTATGAAGAAGCCCATGTCATGATATAATTCATTACAAAAATAGCGTTGCGTGTAAGAAAAGTGCAATCGATATGTCAAAAAAAAAAATTGTTTGTTTTTAAAATATTTCCCATAAATATTATTCATCTATTCCAGTACCAATGAGTACAAAATAAATTAGATAAATATTCATCGATGACGTCACTTGTCATCCGCTCTTTTATACAATTTGATGATGCCCTCAGCGTCGAGATCGTTCCAGAGTTTGAGTTCTTGCTTAAAATCGTGGTTTGCATAGTAAACGAATTTAGTGTATTGTTTGTCGTAGTAGTGAGTGGTGTATTTCCTGAAATTCACACCAAATCCGTAAGCGCTCACTTCGTCACATGTGTGAATTGCTGCTATTAGCATCAGTGCTCCAGTGCTGGGTCGATTGACTTTTTTGTATTTCCTGCTTGACCTTATCCAGCTGTTCAGATGAAGAAAAGAGAATAGACACATTAGAGTTAAATACATACTAGTGTTATTAATCATGCTGAAAAATTGGGCTACATATTTTGAGCTTCACGAAATCCGTTGGTGATCGCACATGTTTAGGAGGATTTGCTCGCGAGTAAATCAATTGCGTAACCAAGGAAACATATACATTCCATATACTATTCAAATTGTGGATCGTTGACACCACGTGACCGTGATCGATAAAACAGAGAGCTGCTTGATTTAAAGTAAGAGGTTGTTAACATTTTCGATCAGACTAATTGTTTTTATGATTGATAAATAATTCAGCATAAATAAATAAACAAACTAACTAACTAACTAACTAACTTTACATGTTTGGTCAACTTCCTCTTTCTGGTAGTAAAAAAATATATTTACTTGTGTAGACATAAAAATCAAAAGCCAGAATTCATGGCATACAAAAGATATGTAAAATATTTCCTGGAGATAGAGTACTTCATTGCTGTCCGACGGAATAAGTTGACTTCTCATAACAAGAAATGGGGATATTTTATGAAAAATGTTACCCAATCCACTTCACAATATGTAGATTAATTGCAATTTGTAATGTACAAACCAGGTATGTAAGATGTTAATTTCAGTGCAAACTCCAATAAAAGTTTATAAATACAAAAAAAAACTAACTAACTAACTAACAAACTTGACTGAGAATCCCAACTTACTACCATTCCATGTATCTCTGAAAGTCAGGGTGAAGCATCTTGAAGTCCGTGTTCTTTACAGTTTTACCGAATTTCGGAATGCCCCTGAATTAAGCGAGAAATAACACCGAGAGTAAATTCATTATGTTTACCACGCATTGCTTTGTAATCGACCATATTTTTACTAATGACATGCTGGAGAGAAAGCCAATATCATCAATCACATCTCTCGTGAATGCATTATATTAATTGTTGTCATACTGCCTGTTCCTTACTTACCAATGTTTTGGACCTGTATCCTTAAAATCTTTCTCTGTTTTATTTGACGATCTGTTTTCTACGAGTATGTAATCACTTATTTCGCACGGAAACACCAAATATTTTGTTTCCTGCAGAGTAAACATACATTATGGTAGTGGATATTGTGTGATTTGCTCAATTTCCGACCAGCCGACCATAAATATTGGACGTGAACGGGGTTCAAGGAGTTGTTTGGAGGAAATACTTATTCTATACATTAGAAAACACAAATAATAGTGAAAACAAAAACAACATTGCAATTTTATTTAATGATGAATTTTTCTTGAAGTAGCAAATTATATAATGATTTTGGCAATTGGGCATTTCAGAATACTAGTAGTTATTTTCGGAATTTAACTCGTTGTACGCTGAATTGCTGAACAATAAAACATAATTACGATGAGGAAAAAAAAAAGCGGTCGATTTCCACTCACAATGGGTGTCCACTTACCTTATCGTGTGGGGCTACAGTGAATCCGCGCTTTCTGCCACCAAGAAGGGAGTTACGCATAGTTGTTATCGTGTACGAATAAAATGACGTTTTCTTTCCTACATCAACCTCATAACCCTTGGTGGCGGCGATATTCACTCTTTTTTAAAAAAAAACCAGAGAGACAGTACATAAAATCGAATTATTGTTGGTACTTTGTAACGAATATTACAGTATTATTACAATGTAGAAAACTAACCTGAACACGTAGTCGTGGCTGTCGATTTCCTCACCTTTCCGTGACCCATTCAGAATACCGCCCCCACCGACCACTGCGCAGCGAATACATTTGTTGTCTCCGCTCTTTTGACCTTTAAGATTGAGCTGGTTATCAAACATGTACCGATGACTTGGGGAGTTTAAATATGACAGCGTCCTATTGATGACTGTAAAATACCGTAAAGACATTATCAAGAAACACAGATAGTAACAAAGAAACAAATCAAATATGCATGTTAGCTTCGATAAACATCAACCGTTAAAGGGCGGCGGTTCGATATGGAACTCTTAGCAACGTACACAGCGCCTGTAAAATACATTGTTTACATGAAATTCGAACACGCGCTGCGTGACGACCACAGCCCTTTAACCCCTTCTCAACACTGTATTTTCCGCCAACATGTTGATACATTTTACACAAATTTATGTACTTTTTTGTAAATTTTTTACCAATAGACATAATTTCCAAAGTCGTACTTTTTTCAATATGAAAACAAAATATTTTGTGAAATGTGACAAAAATTGCCTTTGGCGTTCAAAAATGAAGCCAGTATATCTACTTACGATCTTGTCCGTAACCTTGCCAACCGTAGCAGCCCCAGTACTGTGAAAGTCGATTATATTCTTCGAGTGTCTTGTGTTCGTCCCACATCAGAACAGGAATGTCGGCAATAAACCTGTCTTTGAAAACTTTACTTTTTATAAGTTTGTTTCGCAGAGTTGTTGGACATTGCTGCAATAGAGAAACACGTCATGCGAACATTAAAGCGGGGGAGTCGTCACCTGCGCATGCGTCAGATGGTCATAGCGTGTCATTGTTTACAAACAAGCGTCTACCCATGAGCCTTTGCGTTTTTAACGTGTGTTGTTATGGTCACGGTCGCTTGGGACTCAATTCCCGTGCGTGCACAGATGACGATCCTCCCGCTTTAATACTAGTAGTTTTGAAGCTGTTTATTATGTATGCATTGGGTGCGATAAACGATAACATACAATTTTTATTAATTCAAATTAAAATTGAAAAGGTTGTAAATGTACAGCGTGAATAATACTACTAACTATGAATGTGAAATGGAACTTTACTATTTGTAACAATGCTAACACACGTGACTGTGTACGTCATCGAGTTATTCTTACCATGTACTTTTTGTAGGAATCTTCATGTCGAAATACGTCTGCATTTGGAAGAAGTTTTTCGTTTTCATCTTTGATACCTTTTGTTTTAGGCGCAGTAGCTTTCGGTTTGGAAACTTTCGATGAGTTGGTCACGTTATTGTGGTCGATAGATGTGCTTCCTTTTTCATGGGTCGGGTTCTCCGCGGGGTTCTCTGCCACCGCACTGACAATCACACTAGAGAGTGATGCGTGCTCGTTTGATTCGTAAAGCGTACTATGTGGGTTGAACAATTATAATATTAATAATATTAAAAATTAAACCTGGTCAATGACATGATGAATATGTGCAAAGATTGTATTTATTCTCTTCGTGATAGTCCTGACAAGATGACATGAAATCGCATCTCATGTCGCCAATTTCACAAGTCACGTAGAAAAATATTTGGATTTTCGCGAGCGAATAGTGTATGTTGCCAAAATATTGTTTACGCAATTAACATTACGTAACAGTGAATATTATAATCATATATTCAATCAGAGGTACATTACTTGGGGTTTGCAACGCGCATAGTACTGTATGGTGATAGCGAGACTGGTGCTACGACCTTCTGACATGACATAGGCGGTTTGTAATAAAACAATAAAACATGTATTACCACATTCATAGTGAAAAAATGTAATACATCGAAAATGTACAGAAAATATAGTTATCGTAATCCGTCATAACGTGAGCAGCTATTTTGATCCACCTAGACATCCCAGTATCCTAGTTACCTCGGGCATGCGCATTCGAATTGTTCTGAGTTGGAACACTTATGTGAGAGCGAGATTGAAACGGGATCTTGGTATCATGTCACCGTAGTTGCAAACCCCACGTAATGTACCTCTGATTCAATAGATTTCATGATAAGGCCATTGAATGATATTTTCGAAACTAAAAGCAGGGACTCGGATGCCAATTCTCAAAATCGCAGAGAAAGGCTTTCAGTACATTTTGGTGGCTTGATAGACTGTCGACAGTCCTCGGATATAATGTAATCGTGTATCCTAAACATTCAAACGCCTCGGTGTTTGGTGGGAGATGGAAGCATTTCAAGAGCGGGACTTTAGTCCTAACGGTACTCTATATTCAGTTTCCTGTAAGTAATTTATTCACGCCTATTACGTTTATACACATTTTGTTATTAATACTATTAGATTAATATTAGGAACGACCGACTGTTTACAGTCTAGTGGGTTCATTGATTTCACCTATAGTTTGTACGATAATTTCGCTGTCCACACTCAACCCACTTTAAGAGTATATTCTTTCAGTATTCTTCTGATGCCTAAATGTAGGCCTTTGAAATCCTACCCAAGTCGAGGACTATTGACGTTAAATACAATAAATTAATGATAATTACGTAAAATATCGGAATAAAAGCAGAATCATGGCACTAATAAACTACTAGTATATGTAATCCTCCTTTACGGCGATGTAACAGATGTGAACACGGTAACAGTCCGGTTTGCAACAAAAATTAATCCCACCAACAGCTCGCTATCCACATATCTGGCCCAGTTGTCTAACATTGAAGTCAAGTTCACATCACATTTTGTGTCCATTTACGCCGACGTAAGAGAAAAGAACATATTTGAATACGTTACGTCGACGTAGAAATGTCATCATTATTACGTAGTAGCTATGTCGGCGTAAAGACAGATAAGGTGCAATCGGTATTCTAAGCTGATTTTGAGTGCCACAGTAAACTGTATTTCAAAGTAGACAGACTAACAGAGTGTGTCAAATTTAAGGCAGTTTAGGATGTTTTTACAAAATACAAAATTATTTTTTAACAATTATACATTCTTCTGGTCGAGTTTGGAGTTTCTTTGGAGACTATTGCCGTTAATTACTATTAACAAAGTTACTATTATATTTTTTTCTTTTACATTTTTGTTTCTTATGTTTCAGTTTCATAATGCCTCTGTAACAAATCCACTGACGATATTTTACGATGGGGGTAGAACACACACTGATAAGGCCAAAGACGAAACGACGTGCGATGTGCCAGTACTAGTGCAGTTACTAGTGGAGTTACTAGTATATTATAACTAAGCGAATAATATATCATAAACAAATTCAAATTATTTGAACATTTAAGGCGGAGGAGTCGTCACCTGCGCAAGCGTCAGATGGCCATGGCGTGTCCGTCACTGTTTACAAACAGGCGTCCACCCATGAGCCTTGGAGTTTTTAGCGTGTTTTGTTATCGTCATTTGGGACTCAATTTCTGCGCGTGCGCAGGTGACGACCCTCCCGCTTTAAATGATTATGCGACGTGAGACGGAGAGGCCCGCAATTAGGTGAATAGCGGTCGCCTATGTGGTACTAAATTAAAGGAAGGCTGAAATGTTAGGATATACAACCCATGCAACATCCCAGTCAGCTGGAAAATACATTCGATCAAAGTTATTTCCAGCTAATTTGCATGCACGTATCAACACATATGGCAAGATATGTTACCCCGTGCCATTATTTATTTGGTATCACACAGTTTATTTTGGGTCAGTCACATGGATTGAACAAATCTAAAGCAAACAAATACCAGCCTTTGTCCATATAAACGTATGGGTTTGTTGTTATTTTAAATTGATTTATACGTTTAGAATTAATTATTTGGAGTATGAAGCATATGTATTATACACTACGACACGCAGCTGAACTCGTATTGATAGATTTAATTTATTAATGGAATATTGGTGAGCGGGGGCCCGAATAAGGGTGGAAAGTCTTCGTTATTGTTCCGTAAGATGCAAGTGTTTTAGTTGTCATGGGGCCTTGTTGTTTTATTTCTTTCTTTTTTTTAATCTTATTTCTGAGATTGTATTTCTATAGCCTTAATATTTTTTAATCAAAATGTGCGAATATAAGACAATAATCAGCCTAAAGGAAATGCGTAAATCTAGTCGATATTCGATTTAAATTCCGTGCTTCTATTAACGATGGGCATTTTGCAATGTATGGCAATGTATCTTTGCATAAACGAGTGTACATATCAGGAGGAAGCGGCGACAGGATGCGATGACAAGGGAACAGTCTGGAAAGAAAAACCTTGTGAATGAACGTTGTGTCTTACCTTGGCCAGAACTGCGTACTGAGATGAGTCGTGTACAGTATGGTGGCAAACACTGATATAACTAGCAGCGTGCAAATGACTTTAACTACACGGTTGCCGCTTCGAAGACTAGAAAAAAACATCGATATCTTAAATTGTGACGTAAGCATTATGGTCATTTGGTGGTCATTTAAATAGACGCGCCGATCTCTTCCATGTCACGTCAGTCACTACAATCAATGATTGGAAATATACTCGTATAATATATACACACACACGCAGAAGTGATATAGTCTATACTCGTCATAGTTTCCGCCTGGTTACGGATTCAATGTATACTGTAATTGAAGTTAGGACCTGCTCAAAAATCTATGCAAGGGGGTTAGAGGAGTGAAAATTCGGAGTTATCACGGCAGGAGGGGGTGTCAACCAGCTATAATAAATAGGGCAACTAGTTTTGGTGTGGTAGCATAATGAATACAACAAAATTATCACACGTTATTCATGTTAATGTGAACACAGTCTCATGCACTGTGCTACATATAAAAATCTTGCGTCTATAAGCCGCTTCCACAAACCTGTGTTTTTTAAAGACCGCGATTATGATTGTTAAACGCTAATCTACACTATATAGTAAAACAAACTTTTGTTCATGATCACTAAATATATATATATTAACAAAAAATAAATGTCATGCCAAAAGATAAAGCAAAAATTACGACATTTTTGACTGACACTTCCTCCGCATGCCATAGGGTTGTTCGACAACTGTTTTTCATAATCAGAAACAAAATAAATGTCATGCTAAAAGGCAAAACAAAAATTACGAAGTTTTTGATTGACAATGCCTCCGCATGGGTTTTTGATTGACAGTTGTTGAGTTGTATAGACGTACGGATGTTTGTTGATGCTGATTGAAAGCTTTCGAATTGAAAACATGTTTTGACGATTTTTGACAGACCCGTTAATTAGGTTTATTTAATTGCTACGTATGTGTACTTGTTCATCATTTATTATTGTAAAAGTAGCTTCGATGAGTGGCTTTATTAGCACTCTGAGTACTTTCGCTGTCACTGGTCCTTTCATAGAAGTTGAGAATTAATGTTTTACGTGTCATGACTGGTGTTAATATAGGAGTACCATCTTTTGCCTTTTGTTCTGATTTGTGCAGTTGTTCTGGTGGGAATTTCTAAGACACATGCTCTGATATTGCCCCTATTTTCTTACTTCGACGCTGAACCACTCACCCATTTATAGAACGGGCTTTGCATGACATGCTCTTGTTACACTGCTTAGTGACATACTAGTACTGTATATAAGTGACGATTGTATTGGCTTTGCAGAAGGAGAGTTGAATATAAAGATTATATAATATATATTTAAATACAACAGATAAAATTTTTAAAAAATGTAATATAACATATTCCATCTTAAGTGCTATGAATTTTCCAACGACATTTGCTTGAATCTGTAAACAATGAAATATGTATATTAGATGTGAAATTTGTTTGATAAATTGATAAATATGGCAAGGCATTCCGGATTGATTGGAACCGTGACGTTCACAGCTGTAAAAGTTGTGCCCCAATCAACAGTTAATTGATATAAACAAGCCACGTGCCAAATAAATCAGTTAAATAGCAATATCACTTGATCATTTGTAACAGAATGTAAAGTTATTGCAAAGAATTTTTAAAAATGAAATCTGCTCCCAACTCTTTATGGTGGGTAGTAATGAAAATATTAACATATACACATTCAGTTTTATATCAATATTTTTATGATGATAATTGTTTTTATCCCTGGTAAATGAGTGGTCTGACACACATAGCCTTGTGTTCCCGAAGTAGATGGCTTAAAGTAATAACTTATCGACTTTCTGTAATGTATTAATTTTTTAATCACGTAATCAAATGATGGCAGACATTTCGGCCTCTGCTCGCCACCTGGTGGTTAAGAATGAGTCCAGAAACGTTCGAAAATGTTAAGGCGAATATAAAAACTTGTATGTTATAAAGGATGATAACTTACCTGAAATGACAAAACAAACTTGACAGGAGAAGGTTCGCTCGGAAAAAAAGACAGTAATCTCAATATAGAGTAATGCGGTATGCATCCAGTTGATATTACCGGTAATATCAGTCGAATGCAATAAAAGATTACATAAATTTGTGTTTTATCACTGTCTTAGCCAATGAGGAACGTGCATTTTCTACCAATCAATGATAGCGATTTCAACACAGAGTGAGTCCCACCAATGGAAACTGGTTTGTGTCACGTGATGTACAAATTTCCAGTAGACCAATGAAAATAGTAATACATGGGCAAAGGACAAAACCGTGTTACGCTAATCACGTTTGCCATGAGCATTCTTTGAAATTAATTTGAAGGACTAAAAAACGAAATTTATGGTACGTGACATAAAAACGCAATGTAATGCACGTGAATAACATGACAAACATTTCAAATGTTATAGTTATCTAAATTTCTATGGCGATAGTTACGTAAATTGCGGCAAGATTACAGGGATGGCAGTTACGACCCCCCCCCCCAAAACAAATGTCATCTACGGCAACACTTAAATGTCTTTCCGAACAAGAATGAAAAGGCCTAGGCTAAACAAAAATCCAAACTTGTCAAAATAGTTTACCAAACAGGGCAGGTAACTTTAAAAACTTGCCTACTCTAAATTTAACAGCCCTGCTTATGTTTTCCATATTTTATCAGCGTCACTGCAGTGACTTTCATTCATATAAGAAAAATCTTATTCAGAACCTCAGAGTACAACACTGTGAAACATATTAAAATCATTAGTAAAACAACGCCTTTATTACCTTTATTAAAAAAGGTTTCACAGTGTATATACAAAGCCTTTTAAGAAAGAATAGATAGTTGATAATTATTATTAGTCTCAGTTTTATTATCATTAGTAAAAATTTTAACACATTACATTTTACTTTTATACTTAACATTATAATATTTTCTCTTTCTTTATTATTTCATTATTATAATTATGTTATACTTTTATTGCTACTGTACTGGTAGAAAAAAACTGTATTTCTAAAGATGCAATGAATAATAATAATATTATTATTACCCAGTTATCAGAAATTATTTGATATGTCATTGCAGAGCGGACATGACCATAAGGATTACCCAGGTGTACCAATATAAGAATGTCCAATAAAAGCCTGGGTGATTCAACATCAGTTTGTTGAGATTTTTAAACGTACAATATGAGAATCTGTTTTTAATATTGTATGTTGAATACATCGAAATATGCAAATCCCGAATTGCTGGTACCAAAAGCAAGGAATAACAAACAAAATTGATAAGGGGGTACTAGTAACTTGAAACCCAACCTTCAGAGAGATACTAAATTATTTACGCTAAAGTACTTAGTAATATCAGATTTCACGAACGAATGATATAATCCCCCCCCCCCACCACCACCACCACCACCACCACCAAAAATAATTCTCTTTTGGCAGTGTCATGAATTAGCATATTAATGGGCAATTAGGTTCCCCGACCTAAATTTCTATTCCGGTTTGTTGCACGTTCTTTTTTTAATATGGAATAATCAAATATGGGACCTATGTATAATAACAGAACCCCACATCCTCCCCGTGGCTTCGCTCGTGAAAGTACGGCAGCAGTATACACCGCATCACTCGTGAAAATAACTTCCATACGCAATGAAAGCCACGGGGAGGGTATCTGTCATAATACTTCATTATCACTGAAAACATTTTTCCCCTGATAAATAAATTCCAGTGAAAATGCCATTTCCCCTCATACTCTATTGAGACACAGCGCAGTGAAAATTGGATTCACATGTAATGCTTGAAAACATGTCAGAAAAAATAAATTAAGTGAAATTCTACGTGACTTCATAATAGTTGGAAATGAACACATTACACCCGACCCTACCACTCTATATACAATGTAAACTACACCCCAAAACATCCTTTCACCCACAGTTACTACCGTGTTTCACCAGTGTATTCTATTTGACGTCAGGAGAAATTGAAATAAACAAATTAATTATAATTTCAGCCTCTAGTTGACCACTGATTAAATAAACTACCTCGTCTTTATGTCAACTTGCAGTTATTCGTTGCCTACACCAGTGACTTCAAAATACATGTGTATATGTTTCAATCCCAGGAATTTCACTCGCTGTTAATTGCATGGGAGTGGCAGTCTTTAATGAATTTCTATTGTCATGTCAATTTCTTGCGATTACTCGAACATTAAGCTGTAACCACATACCGCCTAGGTGCTGTAATTAAATCCTGGTGTAAGCACCATATGAACTATGAACAATGTATGTGAAGCCAGCTGTGGGGTATATTCAATCCTATAGATTTCTCATTGTTTGGTAACTATTTGCTGCAAATGCAACAAAAATCAATATAAAAAATATTACCCACACAGTATTCTACAGGTTACTTGTTTAATATAGTTCCTTCTGGATGATTTAGTAAACGAAGTAACGGTCGGTGACATCAAAGTTGCACTATGATATATCTTACACAAACCCCATGGCGCCCGATAAAGTATTCATAATTTCAGCGAAAAGTTGTTCTCTCGAAAATACAGAACCATTCGATTACTAGACATTGTTTATATGATGCGTGACAACTTAGGCACCGTCTCTCCAGGGGAACTATATTGCTGCGTAATAGTCGCTTTGATTATAAGCGTTTTAATAAAAATTTATAAATACCGAACACCAGCTTTCATTCGTGGCTGGCTCAAGAACTAAATATTGTCGACGCTCATAATGCGCACGCATCATGATGCCTTCACATGACACAGCACTTGCGCCGCCCTCACACTCAAAATTTTGCTAACAAAATCAAATAAGGACTAATTGTCGTAAACGATGAGCACAATTTATCACTGAAACAGATAAGGATCCACACTTTGAACTAAATAGGGGTGGGCATAAGAGTTGGTTAGTATTTAATATTCATATTTTGAAGTCAGTGAGTTCTTTGAAACGTGGTATTGTTTGCATATAACGCTGTAATCAAAATGTTTCGGATACAAATATACGTATAAAGATTCCCCTCGATTTCAAGCGGTACCCCTTGATCTGTTTCCAGGGTGAAATTTGCTTA